CTGCTGTCGAATGAAGCTGCTGCTCTCTGAGGAGGAATGCTGTGCTCTAAGCACCTCCAGTACCACTTGACATCAAGTCATTCTTTTTTCCCCCCTTCCAAACTTCTGAAGCGTTCTGGTGTTTATTTCCTCGAGTATCAGTCAGCTGGTCTGGTGGTTCCTCCATCTGGACTTTGAGCATGTTGTTTAATTTGTGTCCAGTTTTGTGTTGTTAATGTTCCTTAGCAGAAGGGATTTTCCAGTTGTGAGTTCAGATGATCTCAGACCTTCCTGGAGAGCAAGGCTGCACATGTGGCAAAAGGACATTGCTTGCTCTCAGTTTCTTCCAACGTCCAAAAAGATGCTCAGTGTAAAAGCATTAAGAACCTTCCCTGATCTTGGTCTTATCTTATGCATTATCTTGTAGGATGATATATGCATATCTTATAAGATTCCCTTATGCACTGAGATCCTGACAAACTTGGATTGATGAAACAAGTGGATGCAAACTGAATACATGGAGTGGAATAAATGAGTAGGCTCTTGTTGGCAATAAAAGATCAAACCCTTTGGGCTTTTTTCCCCCACTTCCAGGGAATGGCAACCACTATACTACATATCCAACATGTAGTTCTGTATAAAACTGTTTCTTTTCACTGCACTCTGACAGGTTTAAATAAAACTTGGCTTGTATTGTGCAGGGAGAAATAGATACCAAGACATGTGGCTCCAAGTTGGTATCAGATCTGGCTGCAAGTCTCAAACCAAGGTACCATTTTGCTGCCCTGGAGAAGGCCTATTACGAAAGACTTCCTTACAGGTTTGTAAGATCTTGTGAAATCTCCTTTGTTTTCTAATAAGAGTTCTGTTTTGAAAGAACACAGGAAGGCTGATGTGCTGTCTGAGTATCTTTTCAATGCTTCATGTACCTGTAGAGCCACGTTTTGCTTCCTTACAGAAATCACACAGTGCTACAGGAGACCCCACAGCACGTGACCAGGTTCATTGCACTTGCTGATGTTGGCAATACAAGCAAGAAAAAGGTACTGACAGCCTCGAATCATTCTTCTTTTGCCAAGTACAGTTGTAGGGCAGTAAGCCCAGCTTTGGCCAGCTAAAGGACAGCGTCAGGACTTAAAAGCTTGGCTGAAGTGGAGGTGTCTGTCTCACTTGAGTAATAGGTACCATTAGCCTGTTATGTCAGAAGGGTGAGGGCTGCAGGCACAAATCACCGAAAAGAACTGATTTCTGGGATGGGAAGGGGCTGTTTGGTTTTTTTTTTTAACCTGTTTCTCTTGTCCCCTTATGAAAGTTACCAAATATTGGTGCAAAAGGACAGGTTGGCAGTGGTGAAAAACTTGCAGGGTTCAGAGTTAAGAAATTCTGGCCACAGTGGTGAAGTTCACTCGGCTGCTGTCCTGCAGACAAGGAGTTCTCTGGCGTTCAAAACATACTGGTTTTTTGTCCTTTGGCAGTCCCTCTCTCTCATTCTCATTCCTCTAGTAATTAATGCATTCAGCATAAAAGTAAACTCAAATAAAATTGCTAATAAGCAACACAGAGGAGAAGACTCTCCCATTCCTGAGGCTGAGGGATACTCCAAATGAGCAGTCAGGGAGTAAATTCCCCCAGCATGGTGCGTGCTGCTCGCAGTGAGTAACTGATAACAGAAAAGGTTCTGGACAGAAAGAAGGCCTGGAAACAGGCAAGGATCAAGGTTGTGTCTCCATCAAGTAGGATACACTGGTGCTTTTCAAAGAGATCTTTCCTTAAAGTGAAAGCAGTGCCTTGGGAGCGCTCCATAAACTCCTGGTTGCACTGGGTGGGACCCTGGCACAGGGGGGGTGTTTTTCCACGCCCTGATGTGGTGAGTTGTGCTGGTATGTGATCCCTTCAGAGGTGCAGTCCTAGCCCCTGAGCCCCCTGTGCTTGTTGCAGTACCTCTATGCCTTCAGCATCGTGCCCATGAGCTCCATGGACCCCGCGGAGCTGGTGAAGCAGCCGCAGGACGTCACCGAAAATCCCTACCGGAAACTGCGCAAGGAGGCTGCCAAGGCCAGAGCAGAGGTACCGCCCCGGGCCCCTCCTCCTGTGTGCTCTGGGAACACTGGTTGGCTTTCCCTTGGGGAGGTCTGTGAAAAACTGCAGGGTTCTGTGTGAACTGTTTGCAACAACCCAGCTGTAGGGGTGCGATGAGTGGGAGGTGGTTGGTGTGCCCCTTCTGAAACCGGCCGTGTCCTGGGCTCGTCCCACAGCGCGGCCAGGGCAGGGCAGGTGATGCTGCACCTCTGCTCTGCTCTGCTGAGACCCCACCTGCAGTGCTGCCTCCAGCTCTGGGTCCCCCAGCATAACGAGAACGTGGAGCTGCTGGAGCAGGTCCAGAGGAGGCCATGGAGATGCTTCAAGGGCTGGAGCAGCTCTGCCCTGTAGCCAGGCTGGGAAAGCTGGGGTTGTTCAGCCTGGAGAAGAGAAGGCTCTGGGGAGTGGCCTTTCAGTCTTAAAATCTTCAGCCATCAGAAAGATGGGGACAAGATTTTTTTAGTAGGGCCTGTAGCTACAGGACAGTAGCTACATGTCAAGTCTGCTACATTACTTGGGAAGCTCAGTTTATTCTGTTCCAGGATGTTCAGGAGGCATTTCTTCACAGAAAGGGTGGTCAGGCATTGGAAGGGGCTGCCCAGGGAGGTGGTAGAGTTCCCATCCCTGGAGGAGTTCAAGGAGCAACTGGATGTGGCATTTAGTGCTCTGGTCTGGTTTACAAGGTGGGGATCAGTCACAGGGTGGACTTGATGATCTTGGAGGGGTTTTCCAACCTTGGTGGTTCTGTGATGTTGATGCTTTTCAAAGGTGGTTCACACCTCTGCAGGAAAAATCTTATTCCTGGCTGTACTGTCACTCTCTGGGATGCAGATCTAATGGGCTTTGCTTTTCATTTTCTGTACAGGAAGAACCAGCTCGTCAGTTTTTCTTTGACTTGAACAAGCATCAGGGAAAGAAACGTCCCTCAGATGGGAAACAGGGAGGGGACTCCCAGCCTAAGCAAGCCAAGAAACCCCGTAAGTAGGAGCCTGCATTTTCCTGAGCTCTTCCCTCGAGCCTTTGGATCGTGTCCCTCCACCTTCCTCAGGCTGCTGAGCTGGATATGTGAGTTTGCCAGGGAGCTCTGTCACCACACTGGGCACTGGGGGAATGCAGGAGGATGAAGGGACTCTTGTTTCCCAGGGAAAATATGTTTCAATAGGTGAAAGGAGAGTCAAAAGCATAGTTTTAAAGCTCACTGGCCCGTGGTGGTTGGGCTGATGCCATTCACCCTCTGAACCAGACTGGCTTCTGAATGTGACAGTTGGCAGTGTCACAAAGCTCAGCTCAGGTATTGCAATTTGGGTGTGAATCCAGGTGTTTTGATGTGTGAATAGGCCAGAACTGACAAGTGTGTTTGACAGCCTCTGCCCTTGTCTGTACCCAGGCAGTGATTTTACCTCAGTTTGATTTGTTTGTTTTAATTTACTGGTGCTTTCTTACTAGTGAGCTGTAACTACTGAACTCCTGGAATCAGTGCTCTTTCATTAGGTTAGAGCATTCCATGAGAATGGCAGTCAGCAGGGTGTGACTTCACCTCCTCTCTTGCTGGAATTTCCCAGAGGCACCAGTCTCCTGACCAGACCTGCTTCCAGGAGCTCTGTCCTTCTGACACCTTCAGCACTTGATCACCTGGGAAAGGTGGCTGGAAAACAACAGGTCTTCTGTGTTCTGCCAGATATGCCTCGTGCTAATCCTTGTTTCCTTTCCCAAAAAGCACAGCCCACAGGGCCCTGCTGGTTCTGCCTGGCCAGCCCGGAGGTGGAGAAGCACCTGGTTGTCAGTATTGGCACACACGTAAGTACCCGTGGCAACGTAACATACCAGTCTCCAATTTGGAAAAACCCAAACAAACTTTATTTGCAATCGCTCTTGGGTTTGTTTTCTGTTTCTTTGTATCCCCCGTACAAAAGACACAAGTATAAACTCTAAAAAGTGAAGTGTGGCCCAGTTTTGTTATGGCAGCAGAGCTGGATTCTGGTGTCAGAACACCTTTTACTGTGCCAGCCCTATGTTACCATCTGGCAGAACGTTTCCAGCTGGAGCTCAGTGTAAACTGGGACCTGCTTTGGCAGCAGGATGCACTGTCTGGAGTTGTGCAGGATCTCCCTGGTCCCAGGTTGGTTATATACAGGTGAAACAGAAGATACCTTCCAAGTCAACATCTCGAAGTACATCTTGGAGATTAATTCAATCATTGAATGAATGATTGATTCATGCACTTCACTTAAAGCTATTGCTCCTCTATAGCACAGTCCACTTCAAACTGCTACAGGGACAGTAGCAGGCTTAATTTAAAAGTTTAGATGGATTTTCGTGTCAGAGTTAAGAAATTCTGGCCACAGTGGTGAAGTTCACTCAGCTGCTTTCCTGCAGACAAGGAATTCTCTGGTGTTCAAAAGATACTGTTTTTTTGTCCTTTGGCAGTCCCTCTCTCTTATTCATCTAGTAATTAATAAATTCAGCATAAAAAGAAACTCAAATAAAATTGCTAATTAACAATCCCTAATAAGCAACATAGAGGAGAAAACTCTCCTGTTCCTGAGGCTGTGGGATACTTGGAATGAGAAGTCAGAGAGCAGATTCCCCCAGCACGGTGAGCGTGTGCCGCTTGCAGGGAGTAACTGGTGTGTATTGTTTCACTCTAGTGCTACCTTGCCCTGGCCAAAGGGGGCCTGTCCCCTGACCATGTCCTGATTTTGCCCATTGGGCACTATCAGTCAGTGGTGGACTTGTCCTCAGAGGTGCTGGAAGAAGTGACCAAGTACAAGGCTGCCCTAAAGGAGTTTTTCAGAAGCAAGGGAAAGAGATATGTCCTATTTGAAAGAAACTACAGGAGTCAGCATCTGCAGCTCCAGGTATGGTCTGGGTGTCAGCCTGGGAGGATATAAACCTGCACTGAGTACAAACCTCACGTGAAGTGAAAGAGTCGTTCAGGGGTTCGTTGTGGTGGTTTCTGTGTGTGGCAGATCTGTGAGTGTACCAGAACTGTACCAGAACTACCACAGAGATCAGAAAGGAGAAGGCAGTGCTGAGAACTTGAAGCTTTCAGTTTTCAGCAATTTGTTCAGCTCCTACAGAAAAAAAATCTCATAAGTTTAAGCCTGTAGAGATGGGTGGTCACCTGTCTCGTGTGATGAGGCTGAGCTGTACTGAGGGGCACACCAGCCCCAGTGATGCACTGATGGCTTTCTGCAAGGGCCCTCTTTGCCTTGTCTTCATGTCATGGAAATGCCCTCTCTCTCCAGGTGATTCCTGTCCCACTGGACCTCTGCACTTCCGAAGACATTAAAGAGTCTTTTATTACACAGGCACAGGAACAACAGATTGAATTGTTAGAAATCCCAGAGCACTCGGATATCTCGCAAGTATGAGGCCACATTTCACCTGTTCTTTCCCTCTGTCCTGCTTAGGCTCCTGTTTCCCTCTAGGGTTACTTTGTGGGGTAGGGTTGGAGGCAGAGCCTCGTAGACTTTATTTGGGGATGTGCCAGATGGATTCTGCTCAGATACGTTGTTTAGCCAAAGATTATTCCAAGCTATGTGTAGGGCTTGCTGGATTCATTCCTTCTGGTGCCAAACACCAACTCTCTTTTCAGCACATCAGGTAGTTTTAGGTTCTGATTTTGACAGGCTGATTTCTCAGCTGAGGAATGGGAGTGTGGCCTCTTCACTGGCTTTTCTTCCTCTAAAACTGTGCTGTGCTAGTCCAGGGTGACCCAGCTGAGGTTAAGAGTGACCAGACATGCCTGGTTCTCTCTAATGGCTGCAGTCACTGCAGAATTAAACCACAAAAAATATTCCAGTAGTGCCCAGGGTGCATCATCCACTGGTGCTCCCAGAGAAAGCGACCCATCCCTATGGAAGGGACTGTTTGAACTCCCACCATCCCTCTCCAGCAGGTCTCTCTGAGGTGCCTGTGAAGAGGTACCTTTCCTCTCTGAAGAGAGGGAAGATAGCACACATCTGCTCTCTTCTTAGAGCCAGTGTCTCTTCCCACTTTTGTGCATGGAATGGGTAGTCAGGCACTGGAAGGGGCTGCCCAGGGAGGTGGTGGAGTCCTCATCCCTGGAGGCATCCAAGGAACGTCTGGATGTGGCACTCAGTGCTCTGGTCTGGGTGACAAAGTGGTGATGGGTCCCAGGTTGGACTGGATGGTCTCAGAGGCCGTTTCCAGCCGAATGGATTCCGTGATTCCCACCGGGTCCCGCCGCGCTGTCCCCCGCAGGTGGCGCAGCCGGGGATGCCGTACTTCTACGTGGAGCTGGACACGGGGGAGAAGCTGTTCCACCGCATCCGCGGGCGGTTCCCGCTGCAGTTCGGCAGGTGGGTGCTGCCCCCGGCCCCCTCCCGGCGGTGACGAGGCCGCGGTGGCGGTGTGCCGTCGGTGTCCCGGGGTGTGCCGTGGTGTGCCGTGGGTGACGGGCGGTGCCGTGTGGCTGTGTTGCTGTGTTGCAGGGCGGTGCTGGCGAGCGCGGCGGTGCTGGCGCTGCCGGAGCGCGCGGACTGGCGGCAGTGCGCGGCCCCGCGGCCCGAGGAGGAGGGGCAGGCCCGCGCCTTCCGCCGCGACTTCCAGCCCTTCGACTTCTCCCTCCGGGACTGAGGCGGCGCTGCCGGCGGCGGCCCCGCGCGGGGCCGGGCGGTGACGCGGCAGTAAAGGCGGAGAGCGGGAGCGGCGGCCGGGCCATGGAGCGGGGCGGGCCCCCCGCCGGCCCCGAGCGGGCCCCCGGCGGGGCGGCGCTGCGCGGGCACCCGGCCGGCGCCTGCGGGCCCTGGGAGATGCGCGACCGCCTGGGCACCGGCGGCTTCGGCAACGTGTGCCTGTACCAGCACCAGGTGGGGCCGGGCCGGGCGGCGGGGGGGGCACGGCCGGGCCGGGCCGGCTGACGGCGCTGTGTCCCGCAGGACTCGGGCGACCGCGTGGCCATCAAGTCGTGCCGGCTGGAACTCAGCGTCAAGAACAAGGACCGCTGGTGCCATGAGATCGACATCATGAAGAAGTGAGTGCGGGCGAGCCGGCACGGCACGGCACGGCCCGGCATGGCACGGCCCGGCATGGCACGGCCCGGCATGGCACGGCGGCACCGCACCGGCACGGCCGGGAGAGGGCACAGCCCCGGGACAGACAGCCCCGAACCGGCCGGGAGAGGGCACAGCCCCGGGACAGACAGTCCCGGAACCAGCAGGGAAAGGGGACAAGCAGGGCCTCGGCCCCCGAACCGGCCGGGGAGTGGGACCGTGGTGCGGGGATAGCCGGGGACTGAGCTGCTGAACTGGCCGAGAATGGGGAACAACAGCCGGGGTTCAACCCCGGGACAGAGCAGGAGAGGGGACAGCTGGTACAGCTGGTGGTCAGTCCCTGAATGGGCTGGGGAGAGGTGCCTGTACCCTGCGGTACGTTTGTTTTAGCAGCTGGAGGGCCTGGAATTGCTTTTATTCTGTCACGCTCCCGAATGTAAAGAATAAACTCTCCTTATACTTTCTGGTGAGAAGCTCCATCCTCTGTGCTGCCCAATATCCCTCTCCAGCGTGTCACGGAGGTACCTGGGAACCACAGCTGGCCAAGTTGGACCTCACTGAAGTGTTGGGATCTCACAGAATGGTTCCTTTGCCCTGTGAATTCCTCTTTACTTTTGAGAGAGGTCCTGGAGCAGGGAATGCTCTGTCCCACTCCTGGGAGCAGGGATGCTCTGAGCTGCCCTCCCCAAGGCCTGCAGTGCCCCTGCTGTTTAGGGCTTTACTGAGCTCCTGCTGTCACTTTGTCACCCTCACCTGCTCCCTGTGTGCCCTGACACTGGGGGAAACCACTTGCAGGGAACCTGAGTTTGTCCAGTCAGGGCTTGGTGATCCCTGTTGTGGTTGCTGAAAACAAGCACTGAGCCACACAGCTACAGCTGCTCCTGTGGGTGTACACAGAAGTAATTTGTCTTCATTCCCATCTGGATATGTCGTTTATTCCCAAGAGCAGCGTAAATTAGAGACAGTCAGGAAATAGCTGTTAGAATTCAGTTGGAGAAATTAATTAATCCTTCCCTCTGTAGTGGATTTCACCTGCCCGGTGCAGTGACGTGGATTCCTACAAAACCCCCTTTCCCAGGGGGAATCTGGCCCCACATGCAAAAGCAGGCACACATATGTAATGACTTTGCCAGGAAGGTGCAAGAATCCAGAACTTAATCCTGGATCCTCATCATCAAAGTCCTGTACCTTGACTTTGAGACATTGTTTGTGCTCATCCCTGGTTTGTGTATTCCCAAGGTATGGATTTTATGCACTTGGATACCAGTGGGTACTAGTCAAAGAGAACACATCTGGGGAACAGAAGCTGTCCCAGGAACATAAACCATGGTTGGATTGCAGTCTTGTCTCACCCTTCCAAGAGAGGGGGCAGAGTTCTCACCCAGCTTTCCGTGTGCTTAGGTTGAACCATCCCAACGTAGTAAAAGCCTGTGAAGTTCCCGAGGAGATGAACTTTCTGGTTAACGACGTTCCCCTCCTGGCCATGGAATATTGCTCGGGGGGTGACCTCCGGAAGGTAACGGCTGCTCTGCTTCCAAGGTGCACCAAACCAGGGGCAGTGACACTGTGTGTGTCACCAGAGCCTTTGCTCTCCAGGGACAGGCGTGAGGAAGTAAATGTGAAGTGGGGGAAAAAGCCACACGTGGGAAATGAGGCTTGTGTTTTAGAAAGCAGAGGGCAGTCCAAGGGGCAGATACTCTTTTATCCTGGTGGAGTGTGTCATTTCCATACCCTGGGTGCTCATACCCAGCGTGTTTGGCTTTGCTGCAGTGTGTCTCCCTCTCTTTGGAATCTGGTCTGGTTTGGATTCACATGTATCCACTGTTACGGTGCTCTCAGCACAGGGAAGGATCCTGTTAGCCCAGGACTGGGACCTCCAGGGCTTCCAAGCCTTTCCTGCTCCTGCTGACTGGGAACTGCCATTCTGCAAATTGGCAACATCCAAAAACAAAGGAACCTTTCAGCAGTTCCCCAGGCAGTGGGTGCATGGCCCAATAGAGTTTATGCTCCCTTTCCACTGCAGCTGGATTTAGGAAGCAGCAGTTTCTACAGGGGGAAAGCAGCAAATCCCTGTCACAATTTGCTTGGAAATTGCCTCACCTACATGCTCAGGAAATTAGCTCTACTTGCAGTGTCTGATCATTTAATTTCTAATGAGCCCTTCAGTGTTGCACAGATGCTGGAACAATTTAGGAAGTAATGGGCTTCATTTCATTGGATCCCTGTAACGTTTTGTTCATTAAAGGAAAAAAAATAATTTTTTTTTTAATTTCTGATGTGTTCTTTAAATCTTTCTCTTGTTTGGCATCATTTGTGCTTCACATCACTAGTAATTTCTCATCATGGATCTATCATGAGGGCAGAGGTACCTCAGTCATCTCTAAAAGCCTCAAGTGCAGTCAGAGTCAGAAATTGCTAAAGCTGCTTATTGACAGTTCATTAAGACAGTGATTGGGGGATGGAAAAATGTTGTTCTTCTCTGTTGCACTGTGGGTCTAAACATGTTTGTTTTTTTTTAATTGCAGCTGCTAAACAAACCAGAAAACTGCTGTGGACTTAAGGAAAGTCAAATCCTTTCTCTGCTTAGCGACATCGGTGTGTAGTCTGATGCCCTTCCTGTGGGTTTTTTTGGGGGTTGTTTTGGGTTTTTTAATGTGTAATGGCATTTTGCTTTTTCAGCTGACTGTGAAAAGGGAACTGCCAAGAACAGGGCGTTAGAACAAATCAGATTTCTATTTCAGAGGAAGGATTTGGTGTCCCTGGAGTTAACAGAGACCAGAAACTCACACTAGTGATGTGCCTGTGGAATGGGACTGGAAAAGCTGTGGTCAGGTGTAGGTGACCGTGACATTAATGTTTTGTTAAGGTCACGGTTTTCTGTTCAAACCTCACTTCTGCTGATGCCAAACCACTTATCACTTGAAGGAATGCAGTTTTACAAGGCAAAAAGCACTGACTGATGTGAGAAGTGCCAGAGTTGCCCTGTGGCATCTCTGTGTAGGGTTGGCTTAGCAGGAGGGAAATTCTGTTTGTTCAGGGTGACAGATGTCTGATACCACGTGGATTTGGGATTCTGCAGTTAGGAAAGGGAGCAGGCAGGGTGAGAGGGGCTCCAGATGACAGCAGTGCTCACAGGGAGCAATTGCATTTGATGCCTTTGTGTGCCTGCTTTAAAGCCATTCCCCAAGGCTGGAGTAATCCGTGAAAACCCTCATGTGACACACACTTGAGGTGTTTAATCACATACCTCATTTGTCAAGCTGTTGAGCTGTAGCTTGCTTGATGCCATAAGAAAATTAAAGATGTGAGACTTGAAACTGGCCCTCCTCTCCATGGGGAAGTGCTTGGCCTGGCCTCCTGGACAACACCCTGGGAAGGAGGGGGATTGCCTGATGGAGGGTGATGCCAGGGTTTCTCCAGGAGCTAGGCTTTCCAGGAGAGCTCCTTGTTTTCTCATTTCTCTACAGATAATTTGTAGGAACAGAGCTAGTTTTGGCATGAGAAAGCATTTTGGAGTACTGACCTGGACTTCTGTCCTTGCAGTGCTCAGAGGGCTTCCAGTTGTGTCCCTGAACTAAAGAGCAGCTCTGCTTCCTTCATCCTTGTTCCCCTTCCACCTTCAGAACAGGGTGTGTTTCATCATAAGTTGAATGTCTTTGCTATGTCTTTGCAAAGATGTGAAAATGCAGTGGAGAAGAAATGCAAGTTTGAAGCTGTTAAATGTGTGAGTGGTGGTAAATCTTTGAAGGTTGGGGACTTGCTCCCCAATATGGTATTTTATCAGATGTATCTTTAATCAATGTGAGTTTATTTTCAGTTAAATCAAATGTGTCTTTCAGGTTCTGGTATCCAGTATTTGCATGAAAACAGAATTATACACAGAGATTTAAAGCCTGAAAATATTGTTCTTCAGGATGAAGGTGGGAAGGTAAGTCAGGTGGCCTCTGTCAGTGGTGTCTCCATTGTCATTTCTGGGAGTTGTCACACTGAACTGGACTGAAAACTCAGCTGTGAATTTACTGTCAGCTTTAACACTGTCACGTGTTGAAGACTTGCCACAGACTTTCTCCAGAATTTCCATTCTTTCCTCTTCTTGATTGTATGCTGTGGATTGTATGCTGTCACTGTGCAGATTTTGGGTTGTTTGGTTGTTTTTTTCTTGGCATTTGCTCTTCTGATGAACTGTTAAAACTGTCTGCAGATTGTCCACAAAATAATAGACCTGGGATATGCAAAGGATCTGGATCAAGGAAGTTTATGCACTTCGTTTGTTGGAACATTACAATATTTGGTAAGACTTTTTTTTTCAGTGTCACCAGCTCTAGAGCTTGGCCCAGCCAAGCCCCGAAACCTCCAAAAATGGAGATCCTGGGGAGCTGTCCCCAGGGTGTCCTTTCCTCATGTGCATTGTGAACCTCCCAGATGGTTGTCTGGGGCTGTTGCCCCTTGTTGCATCACGTGTGGCTTCCAAGGGGAGTTTGATCCCATCCATCCCTTCCTGTGCCACGACTGGGGGCTGCTCTCACCCCCCAGCCAGACCCAACAAGTCCAGTCCCTCCCATCTCATGGGTTGGCTGCTCCAGGCCCTGACCCACTGGACAGCTGAAGCTGGAGCTGGAGCCACACCTGGACACAGCTTTGCCTCTGCAGAAATGCAAGGAAATACCACGGTCAAAGTGTCTTTTTATGATCCTTTTTAGGCTCCAGAACTCTTTGAGAATAAATCCTACTCGGTTACTGTTGATTACTGGAGCTTTGGGACGATGGTGTTTGAATGCATTGCAGGATTTAGACCTTTCTTACATAATCTACAGCCGTTCACCTGGTAAGACACTTATTCTTGGGGAGGTGCTTGTATGTTGTGTGGTCATGCCTCTGGTCATGGTAACTCCTTCACAAGCAAAATTTCAATCAAAAAAATACAGTTATAAACCAGTCTGTGTGTCAGAGGCAGAAAACAGGAAACTCAGGTTTCTGTTCCGAGTTTGTTTCCTGAAGCTGCTGGACACTGGCACTTTTTGCTGCTGTCATATTCAACTGCCCCCTGACAAAAGTAACACTGCCAGCATGTCCACAGAGGATTTTGTTTTGCAGGCATGAAAAAATCAAGAAGAAGGACCCGAAGCACATCTTTGCCTCCGAGGAGATGAACGGGGAGGTTCGGTTCAGCACCCACCTGCCGCAGCCCCACAGCCTCTGTGGGTGAGTGTGTCCCTAGCACAGGTGACCACTTTGTTCCTGTGAACTGAGGGCTCTCCCTCCTTCCTCCCAAGCACTGAGGGCTCCTCCATCTTCCTCCTCAGGAGCGTTGAAAGCTCCTGGCAAGCTGCTGTTTGCTGTTAAGGAATAGCCCACGTGGCTCTTTTTTTGGTGTTTTGGGCTCTCCTGTGCCCAGTTCGTGGGTTGATGGCAGCCCAGAACTCTGTGTCTGCTTTCTGCCCTTTACCACAAGGCCAGTGAGTAACATCTACCTGATAACTTGATGGTATTGAATCTCATGAACCAAGAACTCGAGGGAGTTTCTCCATGGAAGCAGAGGCTGTGTTGGGAAAACTGCTGCAAGTGCAGGGCAGGCCACAAAGATGGGCAGAGCCTGTTGAATAGAGCACTCAAGAAGAGGCCCAGGAAGTTGAGCTGCCTCAGTCTGGTGAAGAGAATATCTGCCTTCCCTTCCTTACAGCCCCTCTGCTTCAGTTTGATTGTAGAACCCATGGAAAATTGGTTGCAACTGATGCTGAATTGGGATCCACAGCAGAGGGGTGGAGGTTCAGATCCCGAGACCGGTCGTCCAAGGTGTTTCCTAATAATGGATCACATCCTGAATTTGAAGGTGAGCGAGGGTTGGTACTGGGTTTAAAGGCCTTCTGAAATCATCCCAGAGGACAGGAAGGGTGCTCAGTGCAGCAAAGCTGTAATCCTGGCTTCATCCAGCTGCAGGGTCACGAGGAATGTTTTTCAGGAAGCAAATGCAAACGCAGTCTGTCTGGTACATCTGGAAGGCAAAATATCACCTGCAGTATTAATCTCTAGTTTTACACTTGGAGTAGAAGGATGACCCTCTATTACTGTCTGTCATCTTGGAAAGGGCTCACCAAGATCAAATCAGGGTTTAATATTTACTAGTAGCAGTTTTCCTGAACTTCCCTGTTGGTGCTGTGACTCCAGGTGTACTGATGTACTATAGTAGTAGTACCTGGAGTAGAACAGAGGTGGCATTCACCTGACTTTTCCCCTTGGAGTCATTACTGGAGCTCTGCTGGAGTAAGACTAGCTGAGGCAAGCATGTGTAGAAGCAGGAGGGTGTTTTTGTCCCTGTTCTTTTGATGGCTTTTGAAGGCTATTTGATTGTCATTTTCTCTGACATTAGGAGTTACAGGCCTGGGCTTTGAGTTTGTTATGTGGGACTTTACTCCTGAACTGATGATTGCAGTCATTGAAACTGAAATGATGCTCTAGTTCTGACATGTTCATTCCTATGTGCTCCTTCCCAAAACTTCCCAGGCTTCCTTTGGCTCTGATATCCAGGGACTTGTAATCTCCTTGTACTGTTCTTACAGATAGTGCACATCCTAAACATGACCTCTGCCAAGATCGTGTCCTTTCTTTTGCATCCCGAGGAAAGCCTTCATTCCCTTCAGAATCGGATTGAGTTTGAGACTGGGATAAGCACTGGAAATCAGGAACTGCTGTTGGAAACAGGGATTTGCCTGGACCCTCGGAAACCTGCTTCCCAGTGTGTTATTGATGGCGTGGTAAGAATCATGCTGTTCGTTTCATGTCTTTCCCGTCCTCAGGGAATTGACAATCTTAGGGAAGATACATTGCCTGAACCTTCTCCCACAGGAGGTAATTTGCTCTGGAAGTGTAGTAACTCTTAAGGCCTTTTACTGGGTAATGTAAGCAGATTTCTGTAGTTAAATTCTGCCTAAATACTCAAGTAATTGTTAGCAAAGCATCCTTTCTTTCTGTGGGATCAATAAAATCAGTTTTAAGGCACTTTATAAGAAGAGAGTGCCCACAATGAGTAGTTCATGATATAACCAGGACTCTCTGGGTTAGTAGGAGCTGTTTGGGGTTTCTCTGTTTTATATTTTGTTCTCTTGTTCTCCCCAGAGAGGCTGGGACAGCTACATGGTCTATTTGTTTGATAAAAGCAAAACTGTCTACGATGGCCCCTTTGCTTCTCGGAGTCTGTCTGACTGTGTGAACTACATTGGTGAGTGTGCTGCACAAGTGCTGTTCCTTGTGGGAAGTGAAAGAATCCACCTTGGCCTCATGACAGAGCCCTGGCATCTCCAGGGTGTGCTTTTAGACCACATATGGAAGCTGCTTCTTTGCTTGCTGCCTCCCTTGCATGTCTCCTGAGATGACAGCAGTCATCTGCAGGACCTAATAAACCCCTCTGGAGGTTTATATATCCCAAATATATCTGTATGAAGGGCCTTGTGTACCTCTATGAAGGAAAAGGTAGTGACAGGGGACAGGAGATGTCTGCTGAGATACTGCATGTAAGGAAATGCCTTGTGACATGCAGTTGCTGTTAAGTAGTTTTATTTTCACTGGTCTGTCTGCACTGGTTTTCCTCATCTCCATTTAGTGTCACTCAGGTTTATTCTGATTGTTTTTTTTTCCTGTGCTCTGGGTTGTTTTAGTCTGGTGAAACTCCTTGCATTGTGCTGAATCTTATGACATATTTACTGATATCCCAATGTACTGACAGTTCCCATCTCTCTAGGGGAACACACAAAGCCCTGCATCTTTTCCCCTAAACATCTACATCAGGAGTCTGGGAGGAAACGTAAACAAGATTGGAAGGTGTCGGGACAATTGATTAAATGGAGTGATTAAATTTGCTCAGAGTTTTTGGGACAAAAACCCTCCTGGTGTTTTACTGCCCAGTAGCAGGTTGTCACACCCCTGAGGAGCTGTGACATGAAAAGCTTATCCACACTTAAAAACTGAGCAGAGCTTACCTGGCTTGACCCCTTAGCTCAGGCCCCTGCAGCAGGAATGAGGGGTGCTGTAGGCACTGAAGTCCTTTCCTGGGGTTGTTGTTTGCCTGTGTCTCTCTGTGCTCAGTCCAGGACAGTAAGATCCAGCTGCCGATCCCTCAGCTGCGCAAGGTGTGGGCAGAAGCGGTTCACTACGTGATCGGCCTGAAGGAGGATTACAGCAGGCTCTTCCAGGGCCAGAGAGCTGCCATGTGAGTCCCCACTCATCCACAGCAGTCACTGTGCTGCCAGCACAGACTCTGTTGGCGTGGAAATGTGTGTCTCAGGGAGTTCCCTAAAGTTTTACAGCCCTGTTCTGTACCTTTACATTATAAAACATTCTCGGGCTGGGAGCTGGTTCCACTCCAGGAGTTTTACTGTGCAGTGCCTGACATTGAGAAAAAAATGGAATATACTCAGAGACTCACAGAATGAGTTGAGGTTGACTTCTGGAAGTCCTCCAGCCCAGTCCATGCTCAAGCAGGGTCACCTAGAGCTGGTTGCCCAGGACCACATCCAGACAGCTTTTAAGTATCTCCAAGGATGGAGACTCCACAGCCTCTGTGGGCAGCTTGTGCCAGTGCTCAGTCACCCTCACAGCAGTGGAGTTTCCTCGTTTTAAGTCCAGCTTAACCTGTGCTCTCCTTGTTTCATCCGTCAGGCTCAGCCTCCTTCGGTACAATGCCAACCTGATCAAAATGAAGAACAACATGGTCTCAGCATCCCAGCAGCTGAAGGCAAAGCTGGAATTCTTTCACCAGAGCATTCGCCTCGACCTGGAGAGATACAGTGACCAGATGGCTTATGGAATATGTGGGTATTGGGGAATACTTGCCTGGAGACTTTCTGATGCTGGAAAGGGTCAGACTGACAATGGTGGGCAGCATTACGGGTGTATTTTAGCTCAAGTGGATGCAGGAGAAGGGTTTGGCAGAAGCAAAGGCAGGAGGATAAAAAAAAGACCATTTTTGGAGACCTTCAGTGACAGTGAGGCAGGTGGTCAGCTGTTCCCCACTGAGAACAAGAACATGGGAGCATAAATAGTGCAGGTGATGTGAATGTTTGCTGTTCATTCCCTCAGGGTCTGATTTCTTTGGAGTTGTCACTGGGCAGCAAGTGGAGGGCAGAGCTGCTGCCCGTGCTGACAGTGGAAGGGCCTCTGTGCTTGATATCCAGAGGTGCCATTTGTCAGGATGGGAGATGGGCTGGAAAAGCACCAGCTGCAGTTTTAATGTCCCAGAAATGTCTGGATCTCACAAATACTGTTCAGGGGAGAATAGCAAGATTTACATATAGTTTGGATTATATGGCTAAAAACTGCAGCTTGAGCCAAAAATGATGACTGGGCTGAAGGATGATGATGGAAAATGGAAAGACTCGGTGAACTGGTTTGGGACAGTCTGTGTTCAATCAAAAGTGGCAGCTGTTGAGCTTAATGGTGGAGTTTAAAGACTCAGACTCGTTTTAGGGCAGTGATTGCAAACAGTGGAATCCTACCAAAGGGTTAGTGTGTGAGTTAAGGTCGAGCACAGAGTTGCAGCTTTGCTTGGAGATTCAGCATCGTTCTCTTTGTGTTCAAATTCAATGGATACGTGTAAAGTCCAGGTCTTGCTTTATTTTTGTGTCTGTATCCTGTTAAAAATTAACAACTCTTTTCTCTTAAGCTTCAGAGAAGATGCTCAAAGCCTGGAAGGAAATGGAAGAGAAAGCCTCTCAGTGTGCACAGGTAGGAGCACAGACAGAATGTCCTGGCATTCTGCAAGTAAATATGCAAATTAGTTTTTAGTAAGAGTCATCCTTAAGAAAGTTAGAGCAAAACTAGAGTTTTTGCATTGGCTCTCACAGTCATACAGAGCACTGTGATTAATACATAAAAATCCCAGGCACCATTAGGAAGACAATAAATTACATGGCTTATTTCTTGCCTCTGTGTAGGAATAGACTGGGTAGTTCAGGTTCTGGGTTCCATTGCCTGTCTTTTTCTAAGTCAAAAGGCTCTTGGAGCCCTGACTCTGCCTTGCTTATATGATGGAGATGGGGGAATTGGGATTCCCACCTAAATTTTGCCCATTAGCTCTTTAAATATTATTTCTCCTTGTCAGGAAGCAAGAAAGATAAAAGGGGGGCTGCTTCTAGCAGAATAATTCAAAGCTGTCCCTGGCTGTTTTCCAGACAACCAGGAACCTCAACAAACATTTACTTTGCAGGCCATCAGAACTATGTTCTGTCATTCACACTGTGTCCATTTGTCAGGCATGGAAAGTGTTTCACTCTGGGATACACAGGGGTATCTCAGTCTGTTTGGCAGGCAGCTTAACTTGTGTGAATTCCAGGCACACAGAGAGATGATTTATGAAGAAACTGATTTTTCTCCTCCACTGTGGTGGACAGAAATTTGGATCTAGGTCATACCATGCACTGAGAACAACCACCTCAACTACTGTAGCAGCTTTTCTTTCTCCTAAACCCTCCAAGGAGGCAGCCCATTATCCAAACAGGTGTTTTGGGGATTTTTATCTACTTGACTGCTCTCCCCCTTCGGTGTGATCTGAAGCTCCATTTTCCCATTAGGCTGAAGATATTGGGTATCTGGATGAGCAGATCATGGCTCTGCACACAGAAATCGTGGAGCTCCAGAAGAGTCCCTATGCCAGGCGCCAGGGAGAGGTCATGGAGAGCCTGTAAGTCCTCTGCTGCTTATTTTTTATGGCACAGAAATGGATTTTCTGGATTTTTAGGGGCTTTTCTTCCCCTGTTGCTGGTTGCCTCAGCACTTTTGAAATGCAAGGTGCCAGTGCAGAGTAGCGTGTGATTGGTTCAAGATCATTTTGTTACTGGAAGGGAAGGTCCCACCACTTGTGGGACACTTCTCTGTCACTGATCTATGAAACCTCATCTCACAAGAGGCTGTGGCAAAGATATATCTTGATCTCACCTCAGGATTTCCTCTTGCTTTGGAGAGGGGTGACTTTTGTAGTGTTGAGTGAGAAGACCATGAGATCGTTGTAAAACCCTGCTAAATATCTTCAGTGTATTTTCAAAGCAAGGGTAAATCACTTGTGGGTACTTGACTATTTGGAAAGTTGATTTTTTTTTTTTTGTTGTTTAAAGTATTAAAATAGGAAAAAGCTAAGTGGTTTTACTGATCTTGGGAAGACACAGGAAGCAGTTACTGGGTTGCTGCTGAGAACACAAGGGGTGATTCTAAAAGAGAGGGATTGAACAGCCACTAAATCTGCTGTTAGTAAGAGCTCTTTGGAAGGACTCTGAGTGTTCAACGTGCCTGTTCCTGGCATGTTCTCCCCCCTCCCTCTTGGCTAAGTTCCTTTTCATCCACGTGTAGCTGCAGCAGCAGCAGAACTGGTGCCCAGGGGAGGAAGTGGTGAAGGAGAGAAGCCACCCCTTGCAGCAGCAGCCCAACATTCAGAGCAGCTCCAACTAATTGTGAACCTGCCTCCTAAAACATGGCTTTTTAAGCAATTCCACCACTGCAGCCCAGGGTTAGAGCTGGGAAACTGCTGCTTGTTTCTGACAGGCTGTGAGTTAGAACAGTGAGGATTTGTTCAAGGCTGGAAGTTTCAGTGTTTGGCTGCTTTTGAAATATTTGAAAGAAGTGACGTTTATTTAATGGGAAGAAGAGAAACAGTGTCCTCTTGTCTGTGACACAACTGTCTCTTTCCATTTGCAGAATATGACTAAGATTCGAGCAAAGAAATGCAGAACAGGAACAAGAATTTCTCAGGCAGTTGTGCAGTTACAGTTACAAAAATGAAGTTTAATAACTAAGGATACCAGGGAAAGAAAACACAGCTGGGGCATGTGGAAATTTGAAACTGAAAATAACCTCCACCTGGTGTGGTTTTCTGAGAAGAAAATGCCTAATTCAGAGAAAAAAAGAGAGACAGCTTTTAGGGAAGTGTTGGATTCCATCACAGAGAGCATCCCTGTGTCCCAAAAGTCATGCTTCTCCTGTAGGAGAAGGTGGCAGCTCCAAGGTCTGAGGTTCAGAAAGGCATCACTTCATTGCAATGCTTTTTTTCCTTGAGTCCCCTGCTTGTTTGACACGTCTGAATCATATTCTTCTTTTTCAAGGGAACAGAGAGCCATAGACTTGTACAAGCAATTGAAAACAAGACCTCCAGGTATGGAAGGAGATGGTTTAAAGACTGTTTCACATTTGTACCCCACGATTAATTTTTCTGACCCCGAACGCAAAAAATACTGTTTGATTTGACTGATGTGGTGGTTGCTGGCCCTTCCAGATCATGCCTACAGTGACAGCACAGACATGGTGAAGATCATTGTGCAGACAGTCCAGAGCCAAGACCGAGTCCTCAAGGAACTCTTTGGCCATCTCAGGTACTTTATGCACACAGAAAACCCCAGACAGATGCAACTTGTGGCATTTGTAGCTTTGTAGTAGGAAAGGAGAGTGAAAATCATAGAGGTCAGAGCCCAAAACTCCATCCATGTTTCTCATGCCAGTAGTAATTCTGCTTCTCTGTGTTGAGTTTCCACTTTTTCAAAACTTATAACTGATGTTTATAGATAATAGGGCAGGGGATGAGAATGGAATGGCTTGCACTGTTAGGATCCAGGAGTTCACTAAAATGAGTGTTTAGGTTGGCATTGAAATCTTAACTTAAAAAAAGGAATAGTGTAAGAGCTGAGAAGATATCACAGGGATTTGTTCATTGAGTCTTTGGGTATCTTGAATCCCAAGGTGAGGCTTTTGATTTTGCTACAGGAGCAGGGAACTGACTTTGTGTTTGGTTTTCATTCTAGCAAGCTCTTGGGCTGTAAGCAGAAGATCATTGACTTGCTTCCTGAGATTGAAGTGGCTCTAAATAACATCAAGGAAGCTGACAACTCAGTGATGCAGATGCAGGGAAAAAGACAAAGGGAGATATGGCATTTGCTGAAAATTGCTTGTGTAAGTAGCTCTTGGATTGTCTGTTTGCTTTTCCTTCCAGGGCAGAGCCAGGAGACATCAAAGGAAACTGGGAGGAGACCAGAAAGGCAGAACTGCCACACTATGGTCGATTTTTTTTCCACAGAGAAGGGCAGTGTGAGATGGTAAAAGCAAAAACTAAAGAGTTGCTTTCCTGCTTAGTTTAGGGTGTTTTAAGACTATACTGCTCATTTTGCATTAGTTACAGAGCCTTTCCAGCTGCAGCCATCTCCCAGTTCCCACACGGGAGGGAGATGTTACAAACAGTGTTACAAACAGTGCTCCCCTGTAACCTACAAAAGAGTGAACCCTAAATCGTACCTTTGTCCCTCACAGCCGATGGATTTGTGTCTTCCAGACTCAGAGCTCCTCCCGATCCCTGGTCAGCTCCAGCCTGGAAGGGACGGCCTCGACTCCTGCAGCCGCGTGGCTCCCGCAGGGCTCCTCAGGGAACGCCCCTCCCCACCCTCTGTCCTCGCTGGCAGCTCCCCAGGAAGGGTAGGAATGCTGGGGAAGGAGAACTGCAGGGAATCAGCCTGGCTGTTGTGTGTGCACACGCTCCCCAACCCTCCCTCTGCTGCTCAGGGGCCTGAGGGCGCGGCCTCTCCCCTCCACCCGGGGCATCCCGTGGGCTGGGCTTGGGATATGCTGGGAAGGCAGGTTTTGACATCCTCTGAAGGCTGAACTGTCCAGCTCCTGACTGGAGTCACAGTAACTCACCTCTGGCAAGTCCCAGATAAATCAGGCCATGTTTAGTCCTTCTTAAAACTGCTGTGATTTCAAGAAGTCTCAGTTTCAGTGGAGGTCTGAAGTTTGGGTCAGTCCTAAGCAATCCATCTGGTTCAGTATCCAGGTGGGATTTTTATCCTTCCAAAATAAGCTTCAGGAGCCCATATGTTACTAATGCTCTAAAAAAAATCAGGAATTTGGTTGAACTCTTTCCTCAGAAACCACCTCCACTCTCTCTTCCTGAGCAAGTTCCACACACCACTCCCAGCTAAAGCACTGTGCTATTCATTTCCTGAATGTTCTTCTTTTATTTCCTATGTCATGTTGGGGTTGGACTTGCTTATCCTACCAAGGTATCTCCTACCACTGCAGAGGACTATAAATCAGCTTATTGGGGTTGTTTGGATTTGGGTTTGTGGGTTTTTTCACCTTCTGATGTTATTTTTGGTGGCTGAAATCTTGTCATCTTTTGCTTTTTTTTTTTTTTTTTTCCCCCTGCAGGGAAAATTTTGCTGATGTGATACAGGAGAATGTGAATTACCTGGAACTCTTCAGCAGCATCCTGCAGGAGGTGAGGCAGGAGCAGAACAGCATGATGGTAAGTCTGGTGGGGAATCGGGAATTTCCCAGGTCCTGGTTTTTAGGAGCCACATCAGGGTGCTCTGGGGATGTGGAGAACTCCTTGAGCAGGAGGAGGGAGCACTTGGTACTGGTGTCAGCTGTTCTCTGGGACTCTGGGCTGGTAGATCTTGCTGGGAATGCTGGTTGCATTCCCAGCTGGAGAGTCCTGGTTTGTGTCCCAGCACTGGGGTGAGCAGGGTTCACATTTCCAGAGCCCTTTTGGGTGATGAACAAAAACTCTTCTTATGGCAGAGTTGGGACTTCTGAGAGTACTGAGTACCATGGAACAGTTTGGGCTGGAAGGGACCTTAAAGTCCATCCAGTCCCACCCCCTGCCAGGGGCAGGGACACCTCCCACTAGCCCAGGTCCCGTCCAACCTGGCCTTGGACACTTCCAGGGATCCAGGGGCAGCCACAGCTTCTCTGGGCAACCTGGGCCAGGGCCTCCCCACCCTCACAGGGAACAATTCCTTCCCAATATCCCATCTAACCCTGCCCCTGGCAGTGGGAAGCCATTCCCCCTTGTCTTATCACTCCAGGCCCTCATCCCTTTGTGGTGAAGTAACCATTCTTTAGGGCAAGCAGAAAATCCCTGCCAGCCTCCGCCATTCTGTGCTTCTGGGATTTAGGGTATGCTGTGCTTTGTTAACTCCTGGGAGCATCAAACAAGACCCACATCCAGCAGCTGGATCCTGCACTCAGCTGTTCCCCTGCTTTCCTTGCAGAGTTTTGACTGGAGCTGGCTGAAGTAGCCACAGGAGCCGAGGTGCTGCATCTCCCAAGTGCCTTCTGTGTGGGCCCCGGGCCGTCGGTCACTGTGTGTGTCCTGTAGCCTTTGCCGAGCTGCTTCCGGAGGTGCCGACACCTCCTGGGCGGGGATTTCACCTCAGTGCCTCACCCACCGGCCGTGCCTGCGGGGGAGCGGCGAGGGCCCGGCCCGCGGAGCGCCCTTTGGGCGGGGGACGCGGGCGGGTGCCGCCGCTGCCGCGTGTCGCATGAATGTATAGCGCGTGTATATGTAATAAACCGTGCGGACGGACGGACAGACAGCCTGAGGCCTGGTCGCTCCCGCGCCGCCATCGCCCACACGCCGTTACCAGGCAACGCGCGGGGTGGTGTGACGTCATCACTCCGCGCAGCCGTGACCCCCCCATGCTGCCCTGCGCCCGCGCGCCTGCGCGGAGGGGGCGGGAGCGCGGCCTCGGCAGCACGTGGGGAACGGGACAGGTATGGGATGGGATTGGGAATAGCGATGGAATAGGGACAGGTAGGGGGTGGGATTGGGAATAGGGATAGGGACAGGGACAGGTAGGGGATGGGATTGGGAATAGGGGTAGGGACAGGTAGGGGATGGGATTGGGAACATGGATGGAATAGGGTCAGGGATGGGATGGGATTGGGAATAGGGATGGGATAGGGACAGGGATGGGATGGGATTGGGAATAGGGATGGGATAGGGACAGGGATGGGATGGGATTGGGAATAGGGATGGGATAGGGATAGGTACGGAATGGGATTGGGAATAGAGATGGGGTAGGGACAGGTACAGGATGAGATTGGGAATAGGGACAGGGATTGAGAACGGGACAGGTACGAGATTGGGAATAGGGAGAGGGTTTGGTAATGGGATAGGAAGTGGGATGGGTTAGGGATAGGGACTGGGTAGAGGGAGGGATAGGACAGGTACGGGATAGGGATGGGATAGGGACAGAGATAGGAACGGGAACAGAGGCAGGTACGGCACAGGGATGGGGCACGGACAGGGGTGGGATAGGGATAGCGATAGACAAGCACTGCATGGGGACGGGGACAGGGTGGGGCAGCGCTGGGGCCGGGGCAAGGCTGGGGCCGGGACAGGCGCGGTCGGGGTGTCCCGGTGTCCCGTGTGTCCCCGGTGTCCCTTGTGTCCCCGGTGTCCCCGGTGTCCCGGCTGTGCCGCGGTCCGGTCCCTCCCCGGCGGGGGCCCCGTGCGGGTCCCGCCCGGCGCGGGCGGTGCCGGGCCCGGGGCGGTGCCGGCGGATCGCGGGCGGATCCCGGGCGGGCTGTCGCTGTCGCTATCGCTGTCGCTGTCCCCGTTGCAGGGCAGGGCCCGTTCGCCGCGGGGTCCCGGTGCCGGTGGCGGTGCCGGCGCGGGGGGATGCGAGCATGGCCATGGCCCAGGCGGGGGCCGCGGCCGCGGCGGCCTCGGCGCTCCTCGTGTTCCTGCTCTACTCCGCCATCCACAGGGTCGAGGAGGGACACCTGGCCGTGTACTACAGGTACTGCCCTCGGGAGCCTGCTCCCTCCGCCGGGGTCCGTCCTGGCACCACCGCTTGCTCTCTCCTGCCTTTGGCCCCGGTTTTTCCCCCTGTTGTCTCTGCTCCCCGATGAGTCCCGGGCACCCTGGCTCTGTGCAGAACCCTTGGGAGTTTGAGTCTCTCTGAATCCTCAGCTGCTTTCCCTCCCTCTCCTCCCTCCCGTCCCTTTTCACAGTTTGGATTTCAGAGCTTAGAGATCCAAAGCGTCTGTCCCATCTCCTCACATCTGTTGATCGCTCCCTCTTAGAGCAGGAGCCGCCACCTCTGTCCCAAACTGTCACCCCCAGCCAGAGCACCCATTTTGTTGGTGCTTTGGAATGTTCTCCCTGCCCTTCCCACTCACCACCCTGGGCCGTTTTCCTTTAATCACAGGCATGTTGAGCTTGAGAGCCTGGGGGGGTTTCTTGGTACTTTGGGGCTCGTGGAAATCCAAACTGGCAGCATCACATCCACTGCTGGATTTTTCCATGGTTACCAGAGAACTATTTAGAGAGGAAAATCTGTGTTCTTGCAGCTCTGCAATGTTGCAATGCTGGGAGGCTTTAGCAATAGCTGCCTCCTCTGAGGGTTAGTTGCTCACAGGGCTCAAGGGAACGACTGTCAGCTTGCAACAGGCGAACAGCAGGAGCACTCAGCCCTTTTGTAGGGGAATTGGTGGCAAATTTGGGGCAGTAATGTAACTCTCACTCCCCCAGCTGTGCCTGCAGCTGAGTGTCCCTGCTTGTTCTCAAAGCTAGGCTTGCTTGAGCCTCTCCCTGTTTTCCTCTCTCTCCGCAGGGGCGGCGCGTTGTTAACCAGCCCGAGTGGACCCGGCTACCACATCATGCTCCCCTTCATCACCACCTTCAAATCCGTGCAGGTTGGTACCCTCTCCTCTGGGAGGAGCAGCTGTTGGGAGGGTGGGGGTGCCCAGCACGTGTGTGAGTTGCTGGGGACAGGAGATGTCCTGCTCTGGGAGGACGGTCCGTGTTTGTGGCCATCACTGTTTCCCAGGAAAGACACAGGCCTTGTGCCGTGGGAGTTGGGAGCAGGGAATGGGCACAGCTGCCTGTCCGTCCCACAGAAGGCAGGTGGGAAGAAGCCTTGTCCTCTTCCCACACACGAGGGAGGCAGAGGATGCATTTGTGGCTCCGTGTTCCCGTCGTGAGAGTCTGGGCACAGCGGGACCTTCCCGGGAGCGGAGCGGTTTGTGAGCTCGGGTTCTCTTTGTGTTTCAGACCACGTTGCAGACTGATGAAGTGAAAAATGTGCCTTGTGGGACAAGGTAGGGATTTCATCTGTGTTTCTCCTGGTGCTGAGCAGATGCACTCGGTGGTGTCATTTACAGTGCTGGGAAGTAAAGGCACGTGCCCTAAAATTAGTCCTGAACACACACATACACCCCACTGTAATAGAACATGGAAATTATAGAACAGGAGGTACATGAGGGGGTGCTCTGGCTTTTGCTGCAGCTGCTGCTCAGAGGGTGTTTGCATTCATAGTGGTATTATCTTGATTTTTCTTGGTTTCTCCCCTCAGTTACTCTGACACCCTGTTGCTTGTGCTTTGGTCTGCCCTCGGATATTTCTAATCTGGATTTTGTGGCTGATAGAAGTGCTGACCAGAGGGCAAAAGCAAATGGTGAATGGAAATCCTCCTGGTGGGAGAGGGTCCATTTCCAGATGAAATGCCTGATTCATAGTTAAGCTGATTCTTTTGTCAGCACAGACCTGCTTATTTGTAACAAGCAGAGCAGTAGCAGGAGGAGAGGGCTGGTTGAGCTGGGTTGCAGATCCTGTTGTGTTGGTTCATCCACAAGTTAAAGTGGTGACTGGAGCTCTTTCTTCAGGGTAAAAAAAGCCCTGGTGATTCACCTTGTCTTTTAGCTCCAGTGTCCTCAACACAATTTCTGTTTAAAAAAATAAATCCCCGTGACTTGAATGATGACACTCAGTGACCTCATTGAAATTGAAAGTGGAATGGTAATGGCAACATTAACAAAGCAGAGTTCATTTTGATCAGGTTTAACCTGTAATGAAATGAGTTCTTGGGGTTACTCCTGGAGCATCAGACATCACATGGGCTTAAATATTAAAATACGGGTCTCATGGTTTTCGTTTTACATCTCAGAGATTTTCAGGAGTATCTGTAAATAATGTTAATGTTCAGTGCTGCAGCTTTCATAGAATCCCAGAATGGTCTGGGTTGGAAGAGACCTTAAAGCCCATCTCCTTCCACCCCCCTGTCATGGGCAGGGAACACCTCCCACTAGCCCAGGTTGCTCCAAGCCCCGTCCAACCTGGCCTTGGACACTTCCAGGGATCCAGGGGCAGCCACAGCTTCTCTGGGCAACCTGTGCCAGGGCCTCCCCACCCTCACAGGGAAGGATTTCTTCCCAATATCCCATCTAACCCTGCCCCTGGCAGTGGGAAGCCATTCCCCCTTGTCTTATCACTCCAGGCCCTCGTCCAAAGTCCCTTTGTGGTGAAGTAACCATTCTTTAGGGGAAGCAGAAAATCCCTACCAGCCTCCACCATTCTGTGCTTCTGGGATTTAGGAGCTAAATATTTCTGTTTGGTTCTGTCAAGTGAGTTGGTGACGTTCCTGCTGCATTTCAGCATTGTGGGGTTCAGTTGTGCAGTGCAGGTGGTTGTGAAGGTACAGGCAGTAAATGTGCTTTACAACACCAAACAGCTGGTGAAAGCAGTTCCTAGTTAATAATTGAATACACTTCAGACCAAAGGTCCCAGTAGCCCTGTCCACTTTTAAGGTGTCACTGCAGGAGCCTTTCAGTTTGCTGCAATTGGATCCAAAGGCTGCAGCTGCTCCATGCCAAAGCCTGGAATCCAGATTTCCTTAGTGAAACATTAGCTTATAAATACGAGTGGGTGAAGTCTGAAATGTCACTGTCCTGGTTAAAAGTCAGTTACAAGAACAGATTGTAAACAGTTTAAGTTTCTGCAGTTGTACATTAAACCATCCCATTTTAAAGGCTGGGTTTCTCTTCCATCATATTTATGTTCCTGTTGCCTGTGTCCTCATCTACATCAGGAAGCTTCTGAATGTCTGTGTGGGTG